ATTCTGCTGCTGCCACTTCACGGGTGGGCGCAACTAATGTTTGGAAAAAGCCGGAGCACATCAAGGTCGTGGAGAAAGTCAAACGGGGCCAATTCTCGGCTGACGGGGTTTCGGTGGACCTTCGGCTGGAAGTGGTTGAACGGAGCATTCTGCAGTTGGAAAACACGGTGGTCGGCAAAGTGTTGGGGAGACGGCTGCCTTTCTTTGTGTTGGAATCAGAAATCCGCCGCCAATGGGGGCGTTTTGGTGAGTTTCAACTCTCTACCATTGGTGTGGACTGCTTTGCTTGCACCTTCAATTCGGCTGATGCAAGGGATGCTGTGCTATGTGGCGGACCGTGGTTTTTCAGTGGAAACATTGTCGGTCTGGATAAATGGACTCCTGAATTCTCTCCTAGATCCCTAGAGGGGCTAACCTCCCCGGTGTGGATAAGGTTACCGCAGCTGCCTTTGCAATATTGGGATCAGGAAACGCTGATCCGAATTGCATCCATGATTGGTGAACCAATGTGGATTGACGCTCAGACGGGTCGCATTGGGCGACGGGAATATGCCCGGGTTTGTGTGAAACTTGATCTTGCGAGGAAACTCCAATCCGGCATCTGGATCAATGGCTGGAAGGGCCGCTTCTACCAGCACGTGGAGTATGAGGGACTAGGCCTATCCTGCTTTGAATGTGGGCGCATTGGCCACCGCAAGGATCTATGCCCAGCTCGGGCAAATGCTGGGTGTGCCGCCCCGGAAGGAGGCCATGTAGGTGGGAACAATGGCAAAGCTCCAATGGGTGGAGCTACTTCGTCTGCTGCATCTAACAATCCAAAACCTGTGGGGGTGATCACGCCGTGTAATAGCCCCAACCCGCCAAGTGTGGGTAATATTTCAGGGAAAGGAAATTCGGGTGATGCGGGGCAGTCTTCCTCGGCATCCACCCCTAGCATTGCTGTGGGTGTTTGTACTCCGAAGGAGGCCGAGCTTACGGAGGATGAGAGGATGTATGGGCCTTGGAATGTTGTGCCTCCGAGGAAGGGCCGAAAGCCCCAGAAGAAGGAACAGCCGACGGGTAAGTCCC